AGAGGCCCCCAGCGGTGTGAGGAGACCTCTGGAGGCTTCCAGTGGGCGGCAGCGACAGCCGCGGCATGGGGCAGGGAGGAGGGGCGGGAATGGGGGAGCAAGATCAAGTCACTCTAGTTGTAGGAGCAGAATGCGATCCGAATTTTTATCTTTGCGTCGCGCGTCCGCCGGTTCTGGCCCACCACGCTTCGGTGAGACACGCTATCCACGGCCTGGTCCTCAGGCGTCAACGTCCCGAGTTTGCCCCAGCCTCCCGCCCCGCGGAGCAGAGCGACACGCTATCCGCTTGCAGGGCATCGCGTGTCAACAGGGCCGCCGTCGCGACACGCTAATCAAACGTGCCTGACCGTAGCAGGTGTTTCCCGAGTAGGGGATCGACTACAGAATTGATTTCCCCAAAATTGACTTTCAGTCGAATCTACGAAACACGACAATGCTCGTCTGACGATCCACGAAACAGGTTCCACGTTTTTCCACATTTTCGACGGAACACTCCATTTTCGGGTAAGTATATTTGCAGTCGATCCCCTACTCGAGTTCCAGATGCGTGCTGAAACGCGAATCCACGCAGGCTAACGCTCCGCGCTGCCGTACGAGAAACCACAGCCTGCCACGCGCTCTCAACTACCACCCCCCACTCCCATGCGGGAGGGGCACAGTCAACCCGCATAGCAAGGATGGGCAACCTTCCCAAGGATACCCTTGCATCCTTGCCCCTTTGGCCCATCCTTTAGCGACTTTCGCTGGCCAGCCTCGTTCGAAAAACGCTCACGTGGCCCTCCAAGGCCCTTGCATCCTTACCGCGCATCCTCCGATACGGGTCGGCTGTAGTGGCACTCGGCCGCCGCCGCGGGCTCCGAGGACTACAACAGGCCGCTGGACAAGAGCCAGTTCCCCGAAGACTGGTTCCACTACTTCATGAACCCGCCCCGCTTCCAGGAGCGATGGCCTCTCCCGCTCTTCGTCCTCTTTTCTCCATCTCCGCCCCCGCCCTGAGCCTTTTTTTTGTAAAAGATTCGGGCAAGGCAGGTTTGCTTGCATGGCGTTCGCCCCACCCCGCCCCCTCGCCCCTCTTCCAACGAACACTGGCGTGCCAGTGCCTTCCCACTTACGTGATTTCCGCACGTGCAAGTCGTTTTCGGCTTGCTTCAGTTTCAGGCCCCCCCCGTCCATGCAGGTAAACTTGCCGGAGTCAACAAACGGGCTCCATCCCTTCCCGGACGTGCTCGCGTCGCGAACAGAAACACGACGACAGATGTTTGGCCGTTTTCGGCCTCCAGGGCCCCCGCGGGGCTCTGGGAGCGTCAAACGATTACTCGGGATGAAACACGAGCCCTGGGGGAAAACGTGTGGTCGTTTCAACCCGAATTGAAAAAACAAGGCATTCCATGTCTGGGTGTTCCTCTTCCTCTTCCTCCGTATGGTGACCCTGATCGGCCTCCGCCGGTCGTCGTCATCGTCGTCGTCCCTGATCTTTGCTCCGTCCTTTTTCGGCGCTCTCCGCACCTATCCTCCCTCTTTTTTCCTACCCTACCTCCTCCTCGCTCTCTTCATCCCTTACTTCTCCAGCGATGTCACGGGTGGATACGTCGTGATCCGATTCGGAGTTGGGGCCCACGTCATTTTTGTTCAGGCCAAAATTTCCACGGCCGTGGCCGGACACTTCGGGCCAACCCCCCCGCAGGCGATCCTGGCCCAAAAATTGCACGGCTGCGGCCGGACACTTCGGGCCAACCCTGGTCTTAAGTAACATTTGGTGGGGCACCCTGGGATGGGACGGGATAGGGAAGGGGGGACATTACTTATCGACAAAAAATCTCCACCACCCCTGGCGTAGCACGTGCGACGCGACGCCAGGGGGGGGCGGCCCATCCACCCACCTTCCCACCACAGGGGGAGGTGCGAAGTCCCTGTGGACGGGACGGGGTGGGCACGGAGGGGCACCATAGGTTCCTCCACAACCAACGGTGGGCACCTCAAGCCTACCACCACCAATGGAGGTACACCATATGTCCTCCACTCTTTGATCCCATTAGTTCAACACTCAGTGAACCTTTCAATTTGGAGTTTGGCCCGACGGTGGAAATTCATGATTCCACCGCATGGTTGCCCAAGTGCAGTGCTTGCGCTGGAGGGGTCCTAGCGGAAATTCATAGATTTGACGAAAGTGTCCCGCCGATTTTGGTCGCCGGCTGGGTTCCCGGGTTCCTGGTTCCGGGTCCTGGGTTCCTGGTTATTGGTTCGGGGCCGATTTCGGCGGGTTCCGGGTTCCCGGGTTCCCGGTCGATCTCTTTATCGATCAAACCATCCGCTGCATTAATCTCATCATCCACAAGTTATCCCCTCTCCTCCTCTCTACCCCTCCCGCTTCCGCCCACCACCACCACCAACCATTATCGTCGTCATCATCATCATCCTCCTCCTCCTCCTCGTCATCATCATCATCATCATCATCATCATCATCATCATCATCTTCATCTTCATCTTCATCTTCATCTTCATCTTCATCTTCATCTTCATCTTCATCTTCATCATCAGCATCATCATCATCATCATCATCATCATCATCATCATCATCATCATCATCATCATCAATTGACTTTCACACCCGCCCCCGCGCATTCCACCACCTCCGATTCTCCAGCAAGCCGTGCAGGGCCCGGATGATGCCGGGAGATCTTCCTGTTTTTTCCGCTTCCCAGGTCGCCGAAGCCGACAGGGCTGACGCGGCGTCCAACCGCGGCCGCATCGCGCGAGGCGAGACACGCACACTCGCTCTCTGCCCGCCGCGCCTTCTGGCAGATGCGCAACCCGCGGATGCCCCTACAGGGGGCACCGCCGCTTAGAGCCAGTATGGCATGAAGCTGCGTCCCCCAAGCGGGTTGCTGCAACGATTTTGTGTTTTTCCGAAGCATTTTTTGTGATTTCCCAGTTTTCCGTTTTTTGTTCAGAATCGCGTTTTCGGGTATTGTTTCAGCTCGCGGTGGCCTTTTCGGGGGTCTTGTGCGCGTCGTGGGCCGTCTGGAAGCCATCGTGGGTGTCGCGGACCGATCGTTCGACGACTCGGAGCCCTCGTGGACCGTCCTGGGCGCCTATAGCCTATAGGGCCTTTTTGGATCGCTTTGGGGCGCCTGAAAGCCGCGCCCAGGAGAAACCATCTCTGGCCCCACTTGGCCGGGGCACTTTGCGCCCGGGGGCCTCCTAGGGGCCGCCCCGCGCGCGCGAAGTAGAAATACTCAGAGGCAGTCGCCGGAGATCTTCGCAAGCCTCTGGCCCCGTGAGCTTCCCCCGAGGAGCATGTCCAGTGTGCTACGAGCTACGAGGCGCGCGACGTCCGGGCGGGCCAATTTCGACGACTCCTTCTCTCCTCCCCTCCTCCTGTTTTTTCCCATTCTCTCCTTTTCCCGCTACTGCTGCTGGCCCTCCTGCTTCTGCGGCCGGTCCCTCCTTTTTCTCTTTTCCTTACCGTCACTGATGTTGCGCGGGCGCGCCTGCTTGGCATGCCGGCGCACCGGGCAGGCCCGTGATTCTTCGCCCACGGTTTCGGATTCGATTTCGCTCGCGATTTCGGAGACGATGTTGCCCACGATTTTCGGCCACGATTCCGCGCCCCCTGGTAAGGCGGCCCCACGAAACCACCCACGATTTTGAACACGATTTGTTCTGATTGATCTAATTGCGAGAAGCGTCGCTGTCAAAAAAGTGCGCTTCCGCGCAAGGGTGGCCAAACAAGTGGGCAACATCGGCGCCAAAAAAGTGCTTCAGATCGCGGCCAGACGGGGGGGGGGAGGGCGCCGCGGAAAGGCGGCGGGGGGGGAGAGGCGTGGGCCAGGGGCTCGCCCAGGGACCCCCGCTCGGTTGGAGACGATGCCCTCGCGGCGGGCCGCGCTTCCTCGCGCAGCTGGTTCGCGATTGCGCCGCCGCGCCCGCGACTGCTGAGGCTTCGATGCCGACGTCTGCCGCCGGGCCCCTCTTCTCCGGCACCAGCGCAGCCGCGCGCCGCGGCCCCCGAAGGAGAGCGCCAGGCCCTCGCCGCGGTCGCGGCAGAGTCTGCGCCAGCGGTTTCCGCGCCTGCGGCGGGCCCCGCGAGCGCCACTTCCCAGAAGCGGAGTTTGTTCGACTTGCGCGGGCATGAGATCCAAGGGCTTCCGGCGCCCAGCCAATTCCCCAGGCAGCGCTCGCGCTCGAGCGTTTTTTCTTCACCCGGGGTCTCCGAAGTGGCCTTTTCTTGTGGTCTGTCGGTCCCGCCCGCGCTGGCGCGTTCCATTTTGGATCAGCTTGGGGGGTGTTTCTCCCGCGCAAGCTATCGGCCGCGCGGCCGGGGCAGCGCCTGGCGCTTTGACGGCTGCGCGCGCGCCGATCCCGTCTGCGCTTCAACGGCTGCGCGCGTCGAGGTTTAAACAAAGCTGTGAGTCTTTGTTTCGTGGGAAGAGGTTCGCGGAGACCCGCCAGGGCGCCGCGCTGCCATGGGGCCCCCATCGCTGGAGAAGCGCAAGCCACCTCGGTCTGCTTCGGGGCCAGAACCAGACCTCAGGGCGAAACGGCGAGGAGATCAGGGCGAGGTGCTCCATTCGGGTGGGCTGGCGCGGGATGGGCAAGTTCTGGAAAGCATGCGCCAGCTTCGGGCGCAAGCGCCTCGTCTTCATGAGCAGGGTGATCGGAGCAGCGGTCTCAGGCCTCGAAGCGGGGGCCCCCGCGAAGGGCCAGGAACAGAAGCTCGATCCGGTCGCCGCCAGGCATGCTAGCGCGTTGTGCCAGGGGGTCGCGCTTTATAGGCAGCTGGATGATGGGAGAGGAAGAGCGGTGGAAGGTCACGACCATATGTGCGGAGGGCGCGTGGAAAAATAGAAAGGTCGTTTCCCCCCAGTTTTGAGCTCGTGGCGCGTCGGCTTCGACATTATCAAGCTCTCGCTCGCCGCCCCCATCATCGCGCTCAGGAATTTCCCGCTGTCGTCGGGGAAACCGCTTTCGAGAACGCGACGCCACAGCAGTTCTCCTGAGCTCCTGAGTATGCTCCAGAGGTCACCCCGAAGGGCCGCGCGAACCCTTGGGCCTTGCAGTTCAAGAACGATTTGTTCCACTTGTGTGGCGTCGAGGACGGGGTGGAGTTTCTGGGCGACGTAGGTTGCGACTTCCCGAGGGTGTTCCAGGTGCCAGAGCTGCGCGCCAGGTTCCTCAAGTTCAAAATGAAGAAACTTCGTGAACACTGGCTAGAGTCCCCGACGGAGACCCCCATCAGGCTTTACGAGGACCAGGAGTGCTTCTTGGGCGGGCATCTATGGTCTCTACTAAACGAGCACGGCCTGGAGCGTGGAAGAAAGGTTTCGCGCAGCGCACGCACTTCGAGCGCATCAAACATGCGGAGGAGGAGGCGTACGCGGACAACTAGGCATGTTCATTAAGTATACAGTCACGAACCACGTGTCCGACGCGTGCCTCAACATCTGCACGCGGGCGCACGACAATCAATCACTTCGCAGCAGCACGCCGACGTGGAGGATGCATAGCCCAGGCGTCGACACTCAACTATCCCGTCGCTCTTCCGCGGCAGTCTTCGCGCCCCGAGGCGGAGTGCGCAATCGAGTTTGCCGACCTACCTATGCCCCAACTGCACCTTGCGACCGCGCACCTGCCACAGCCTTTACCGCGCGTCGCGTTTCCAGGCCAGGCCCAAGGCACTCGAGGAAGACGCGGCCGAGCCGTGCAAGGTGGAGCTGCGGATGAGAGGAGACTGGCCGTCTCCAGTGGCATCGGTAGCAAGTGCAATAGCGACGGGCAATTCGAAGGAGTGAAACCCGAAGATCGCGGACGCTTCAGAGCTCGACGGCATGACGATGGAGACCAGGGCAATCCAGCAGTACATCACAGGTCTCCCGTTAGCTGGGGCCGACAAGAGGATCGCAGAGATGGACCCCCACCCGGCGGCGTACCACGGGGGGATTTTCGAGGGCATCCTAGCGGAGGGGGCGGCGGAGAGACGCGCGCACGTGACGAAGGTCAGTGTTCTGCAGATGGGAGAGCTCGAGCCGATGGTGACGATCACAGGCTGCCACGAAATATGCAAGGTCAAGCTCGTCCTGGGCGTCGCGAGCGGCAAGGCCCGCGACCAGCCAGTGCGCGAGGCGCTGGGCCAGGTGGGCGCAGTCTACAAGCAGGGCATGGCCCCGAAGAGCCAATGCGAGTGCTTGGTACACACGGGGTACCACCAGCTCGAGGCGATGATGGAGGCGTAGGTGGCATGACCCCCGAAGAGACAAAGACAACGACGGTCTGAGGAGCTCGTGAAACGCCTGAGCCACGCAGCCAGCACGCCGATCCTCTGTACCCCTGCTTGTCCCCCCTCTGCTCCGAGCCTCGTCTCTCTCATGCCACCCCCACCCAGAGCCAGAGCAGCACGAGGCAAACTGGGCCCGAGCTGGTTGAATTCCCAGTCCGCAATCGTGCGGCCGATCATCGCACGAGCCGGGGTACTTTCAGAGGCCAGGCGGCGGGTGGAGAGCCTCGTAGGTGCCGACCTGTGAGCGAAGAAATTGGAACGCGTGATCACGTGAACATTACTGATGCCTCGAGGGTCCCTGGTCCCCTCGAGCGCCCCTCTGAACTCAATGCGACTGCGGGGGCGGTGTTTCTGCGCGGTGGAGCGGTACGGATGTGAGCGCTGCTCTGCGGTTGCTGGGGGCACCGCGACAACAGTCGTCATAGTCACGGCCGTGAGTCGCGACCGTGCTCGATCACGCATCGCAAACTGAACTTCGGGTGTATCCCGATCCTTGGGGCTCGAGTGCACGGGGCTCCAGCTGCCCCCCGATGGGTTCTTACTTGATCACCCTCATCATCATCATCCTCGTCGTCGTCGTTTTTCCTCCTCCTCCTCATCATCATCATCCGCATCATCGTCACCATCAGCATCATTTCCGGCATCACCACCTGCAGCACCAACCATCAGCATTCGCATCGGCACCAGTATCAGTATCATCGTCATCATCATCGTCCTCGGCGTCACCATTCCCACCATCAGCATCATCATTACCGCCATCAGCAACAGCATCATCATCATCATCATCATCATCATCATCATCATCAGCATGAACATTACCAGTTCGACATCATCATCACCATCGTCAGTAACATCATCATCATCACCACCACCATCATCATCATCATCATCATCATCATCATCATCATCATCATCATCATCATCATCATCATCATCATCATCATCATCATCATCATCATCATCATCATCATCATCACCACCATCATCATCATCATCATCATCATCATCATCATCAGCATCACCATCACCATCGCCCCCTCCTGTTACCTTCCTTTGCTATGCAGGACGTCTGCGACGGGCCGGAGGACATGCCATTCGTCGCCTTTTCGGACATGGTTCCGCCCAAGGCGCTCCCCACCCACCCTGGGAAGGAGGGGAAGGGACGGAGGGAAGTGGGAGGGGAAGGGGAGGGAAGAGGAAAAGGGGGAGGGAGGGAGGACAAGAGGAGGAGGGAGGGAGGAGGGGAAGGGGAAGCAGGGAGGGAGGAGGGGAAGGGAGGAGGGAGGAGGAGGGGAAGGGGAAGGAGGGAGGGAGGAGGGGAAGGGAGGATGGAGGAGGAGGGGAAGGGGAAGGGGCAGGAGGGAGGGAGGAGGGGAAGGGAGGAGGGAGGGAGGAGGGGAAGAGAGTGGGGGGGAAAAGGGAGGGAGGGGGGAGGAGTAGGGGAAGGGGAGGGAGGATGGGGCAGGGGAGGAGAAGAAAGAAAAGGGGGCAGGCGGGGGGCCTCCGTCGAGCGTCGAGGCCCTCGAGCTCGTGGCGCTTCTCATGGGCTCCCGGGGGGCCCTCCGGAAGCCCGTGAGGCCCCCCCGCCAGGCCACTTCCGGAGACCTAGAGGCAGGGGGCAAAAACCACCCCGACTCCGATCATCACCACCCACCAAACCACCCCAACCCAACCCGAAGGCTCAGATTTACCCTCGATTTCCAGTGGGGGGGGGGGTCGGGAAACATCGAAAAAACACATGTGGCACCCTTACCCCCCCCAACCCGAAATTCGGGTCTTCGGGTTGGGTTGGGGTGGTCTGGTAAGTAGTCAGATCATTGGCGACGGCCCATGGGCGTTGACTAAACAGCCCTCCCCTGTTCGGTTCCTTCCTGTGGGTGCGTCTACGAAACGGCTTCGCTCCGCGGAGTGCTTATGCTGGGGATGGAGCGTCTGCTCTCTAGTAAGAGGTCGGGGAGGAGTCCCGAGGAGGAGAGCGCGGGGAGCGAGGAGACAGGGCTCATGCCGATTCCGACCCCGATTCGACGTTGGATTCCGACTTGGATTTCAGTTTCTCAATGGAGGCCTGGCGAACCTGCCGATTTCCGCCGACTCGGCTTCGCCCGACTTGGTTGCCGATGTCCGCCGATCCGATTAATTTCGATCGCCGTTTCGACTTATCGATTCCACTCTTGACTCTCCTGGGAAAGCGAGGGGAGGGGAGGGGAGGAGGAGGAGGAGGAGGAGGAGGAGGAGGAGGAGGAGGAGGAGGAGGAGGAGGAGGAGGAGGAGGAGGAGCAGCAGCAGGAGAGGGAGGAGAGGAGGCGGAGGCGGCGGCGGAGATGGAGGAGGAGAACGAGCGAGGAGAGCGAAGAGAAAGGGAAGGAGGTGTTTTGGAATTCTACTGGGTTCAGGGGGTCTCAAGGCATGATGTGGGGAGGGCAGAGGGGAAGGGGGGAGGAGGGGGGGAAGGAGGGGGAGGAGGAGGAGGAGGAGGAGGAGGAGGAGGAAGAAGGAAAGGAGGAGGAGGTAGAGGAGGAGGAGGAGGAAAAGGATGAGCAGGAGGACCAGGGGGACCAGGGGACCCGCTGGCGCCTCTGCTGTTCGCTTGCGGAATACGGGCCAACCTCCTCGCTTTGGAACAAGCCCAGTGGACGGCGGCCGAGCGGGAGGGGCTGCAGCCAGACGACGTGCACGTCTTCGCTTACCTGGAGGACGTCGTCGCGCTGGTGCCCGCGGCGCTCGCGGGCGAGGTGCAGGCGGCCGCGCATGGAGCTGGAGCCGCGGAAGACTCAGGCCTGGTCCAGCGGGGCGGCCTGCCCGGCGGGCCTGGAGGAGCAATGGCGCGCGGAGGGCTTCACTCTGGTGGGAGTCCCACTGGGGGAGCCCCTGCCAGCCGCGGGCCTGCCAGACGAGAGCGACGCGCGCCGGGTCGATCTCGGCACGCCTGGCTGTGCGACGGCGCGGTGCACAGAGACTGCGGGGCGAGCGGCGGAGCTCCTCGCCAAGCTCGCGGCCCTCCTTGCCATTGCCTCGCCGCACATGCCCGCCGCCCAGACCGCCCTGCTGCTGCTGCTGCTGCTGCGACACTGCGTCGCGAGCAAACTCACGCACCTCCTGCGCTCGAGCGCGCCCGGGGCCTCGGAGGCGGCTGCCGCGGCGTACGACGACGCCTCGCTGGCAGCCTGCGAAGAGCACGCGCGCCTCGACCCGCTGACGGAGGCACAGCGGACGCAATACCAACTACTACCCCTGCGGCACGGCGGGCGCGGCCTCCGCAGCCAGCGGGAGCTCGCGCCGGCCGCCTGGGTCGGCCTCTGGGCGCGCAGCCTGCACGAGGTGCGGGGGCGCACTGGGCTTGCTTGCCTGACCGACCTCGGCACCTGCACCCTGCCCCTGGCCGGCGCCTGCCGCGACGCGCTGGCGGGGCTCTCGCAGCTGCCGCAGCCGCCGCGCCCCGGCGCGGAGCAGGCCGAGCTTCCCAATTGGCAGCACTTGGCGCAGGCGCCTCGCCAGAAGTTCTAGAAGGCACTCACGGCAAGAATTGACCGGAAAACTACAATTCTTTGCTACAGACCTTGGGGCCAGAGGAGAGATCGCTGCTCCGCTCTTGCGGGGGGCCACACGCGAGCGCCCGCCAGACTGCCCCGCCGGGCGCGAAGGTACAGGAGCTCCCTGACGAGGACTACTGCTGCACCGCGCGGACGCGACTGGGCCAGGCCGTGGCCCTGCCTGGGGCCACCTGCTGCAACGCCGCGCGAACTGGTGCAAGGGCCGGCCAGCGCTGCGGGAAACCGCTGGGCGGCGCGCCGCGCTTGGCGCTACGCGCGCGGGGGCGGGACAGGCGCGAAGCGGAGACCCGGAACGCTTCTGGGCCCGCATCCGCATCCACGCGGAGTGCGGGTGCCGCGTGGAGCGCCAGGTCCACGTCGCGCACTGGCGCCAAGAGACCGCCCCGTAGCATGTGCACGACACAGGGCCCTCCTCGTCGGGCGCCAACCCCTTCCATGATGCGTCCTTCTGCACTTTTCCTTCTCGCAACTCCTGGCGAAGAGCGGGCGCCTGCCGTTGACCCGTCCAGTCCACGCAGGTTTTCCCTCCGCGTGCTCCCTCGTGCCACCTCCCTCGCCGCATTCTCGTTGCACGCAGCGTACTGGTCGCGCAACGCACGCGGCAGAGTCGCATTGGTCCAGAAAGACTGGCCGTCGAGTTCCGCCCCTCTTTCGATGTAACGGTACGCTACTGCGTGCCAGGGGGCGCCGACGGCCCGGCGGCGGCGGCCGGGCGCAGCGGCGCGGTCAACGCCGCAGCGGAAGCGGACAGGCGCCGCCGCTACCCCTCAGGGCGGGCCCCGCGGGGCATGGTGCTCTGTGCGCTGGAGATTGGAGGCCGCGCTGGCCGGCAGCCCTCCGGCACTTGAGCGAGCTGGCCCGGGGCGAGGCGGCCCTCCTGAGCGACGATGCGGCGGCCCCGGCAGCAGCCAGCGCCTGGATGGCCCGGTGGGGCCCGGAACTGCGCGTGGCTCTCCATCACCAAGCAACCGCCTTGGTGTCTGACTGCGCTGGCCGCGCGGCGGCGCCGCGCGCCGCCCAGGCGGCCCAGTTGGGCTGGGCGGGGCGGGGCCCGGGGCGCGGTGGAGGTCGGTTACTCGGTAGTCACGCCGCTCCTCCGCGTGCTGATTGTCTCCGCGGTGCTCAAGGGGTGGGGCGCGTTGTGGAAGTAATTATTTTTCGCCGCGGCCAGAGGAAGAGGGGGAGGCGAGGGAGGAGGAGGAGGAGGAGGAGGAGTAAGAGGAGTTCCTCCTCATGCTCGCCCTTGTCCTCGTCCTGCTCCTCCTCCTCCTGAGAGGGCGCAGGGCGAATGGAGGAGTGCGAGTAGGAGGGGGATGAAGAGGAGGAGGAGGAGGAGGAGGAGGAGGAGGAGGAGGAGGAGGGAGATGGCGCTGGAAGAACAAGAGGTGGACGAGAGGGGGATAATGCGGATGAAGAGGAGAAAGGGAAGGAGGGGAAGAGACAGATGATTAGAAAATGGGTAAGGAGTGGCAGCGGAGGGAGGGAAAGGGAACAGGAGGAGATCAAGTCAGCCAGGTCGAGCGAGTCAGAGGGCCCGGGCTGCCCCATCCTCGGCCCTTAAGATCGTAGTCGTCAAATTTGGCACAACCTGAGATTGGGATGGGAACGCAACGCCACCGAGCGAACAGAAGACACTCGCGCGCGGCCCCGCTTCCGACGAATTGGCGACGGACAAACTAGGCGGGCCGCGCACGGGCGGGAGCGGCAAGACTTCTGACGAGCGTGGCGACGACGAAGCATGCGCCGCGCCGACACGGCAACACCACTTTCACTCGCAACCTGCGCGGCGCTTAGGCGAGGTCGGCATTTCCCCCGGCATTCGCGCGGCCCCATGGCCGCAGTCTTTTTTCCCATGCGATTCGGCGAAGGAGCAATGGGCCGCGCCCGCTTGGGCACGCCACTCCCAGGCGAGACGCGCACGGAGCTGAGGCGAGGGCTCCGAGTCGCCCACCTGGCGCGGGGCTCTAAGACTCTTTGGCGATTGAGGAGCGCGCGCTGCGCCGAGGCGGGAGCGCCACTTTCACGCGGCGCCTGCGCGGCGCCGAGGCGAGAGCTGCATAGTCGGCCGCTCGCGCGTCGACGAGGTGCAGCGTCTGGGAAACATGTGCACCGGCGCCTTGTGCGGGGCTTCGGCTCTCTCTCTCTCGGATCGTGAACGCCGTGGCGAGAGCGTGTTCGCGTTTTTCGAGCGGGATGTGCGCCCCGTCCCCATCCTTGCCACGCGTATTGCGACATGGACGGCGCAACGTTCATGTTGTAAGCAACGTTGGCAGCTTGGTTTTTCGCATGCGCGTGGGACGGGAGTGTCCCGGATTGGCCCGCTAGTGGCCGGTTCGGTGGCAGAGTTGGAGCGCAGACCATGCTGGAATATGGGTAATTGGGAGGAAGCGGGCAAGAACAAAATAATGCCGATGGTGTGTTTTCTCGTTTCCACGGGCATACCATTGAGGCGGGAACACCATTGCGATAACGAACCAGTTTTCGTCCGCGTGACGTTTACACGCTTTAAGCCCGTGGTCCTAAAATGGCGGAGGATATTGAGCGATAGCTCCCTTGTGAGACAGCATCGTCCTCAATCCATGCTCTGTGTAATTGCTAGAATGCTCAGAACGAATGTGCGCAGCGCTCGGGTGCAGTCGCAAGGTGGAACACAACCGCCCTCCATCCGTAAACCCTGCTGGAAGTGGTTAAGACGAAGAGACGAAGGGGCGCGGCGATAATGCCGCTTTCGTTTTTCCAGAGGTGTCCGCTGTGGTCATCCGTAGCCCCGTTGCACACCACCCCTGCTCTGAGCAGCTTCGCGGACACGTTTCGTCCCAGAGCGACGGCAGCGAAACCGCGGAGCCCTGACGTCGCCTGCCTTCGTCTTTTTACATCCACCCAATCTGGACAACTTTACGGACGGCGTTCGCTTCAGACTGAAGATGCCGAAACCGTTGAGCGATGTCGTCGCCCCCCCTCCCTTCTTGCCTCCTCGCCTTCTTACCGCCGCCGAACATGAACGCTGCTAGTACCACCCCCGCCTCCCCGGGTGCTGCGCGAGCGGGGCGCCGTTGCTCTTGCGGGCGCTTGTTTCTTGCGCACAGGGTTCCAACAGCTGAGAACTCTGAGATGCATCTGGCCCCAAGAGGAACGCTGGTCTGTTGAAGGTGGTGTTCCTGCTGCAGTTTTGGCCGCATTTCAGGATCCACGCCGTGCCCCCGTCAGTCAAAATGGCGCTCTCGCCCTGGCGCGGGGCACACGTCTGGACCAGATTCCCTCCTCGTCGGTGTCGCCCCCGTGCCTTCAGCGCCTTCAGCGCCTCCTCTTGTTCTTCCCGTGTGTCCTGCCCCTGCTGTCGCTGCTCCTCCTCCTCCTCCTCCTCCTCCTCCTCCCCCTCCTCCTCCTCCTCCTCCTCCTCCCTCCCCCTCCTCCTCCCCCTCCTCCTCCTCCTCCTCCTCTCCTCCTCCTCCTCCCCCCCCCCTCCCCCTCCCCCTCCCCCTCCCCCTCCCTCCCCCCCCCTCCTCCTCCTCCTCCTCCCCTTCCTCTCCTCTTCCTCTTCCTCCTCCTCCTCCTCCCTCCTTCTCCTCCGCCTCCTCCTCCTCCCCCTCTTCCTCCTCCCCCCTCTTCCTCCTCCTCCTCCTCCTCCTCCTCCTCCTCCTCCTCCTCCTCCTCCTCCTCCGCCTCCTCCTCCTCCTCCTTCCCCACCCCCGCCTCATCATGCTCCTCGCCGCCAACTCCTCATCTCGTGTTCAAAGCTCCCCCCTGTCTGACTGCAGGGCCGCCGGGACCCCCGTCAGCGGAGTGAGGAGCATCGGCGGAGCCAGGCCCCCGACGTTGTGATGCTTTCAGCGTCGACACCCAGAGGTCTCCCAGAGGCGACGAAGGGGCGAATAGCCCAGGGGAGAGCAATATGTGTATGCAGGTGCGCCGATGATTTCTGTCTTCGGAAGGCTCCCGGGCGAACACGTGCAATCCCCGCCCCTGGGCTATTCGCCTCTATCGTCGCCGCCTAGTCTCGACCCATCCCCCAGGACTGGCTTTTCACCCTGAGTCGTTTTTTGACGGCCCCGAGGCCCGGTAAGGGCCCTCGGAGGCCGAACACAGCGAAGCATTTCCCAGTCGCCAGTTTTCCCCATCGCGAGGGGGCTTGGAGAATGAAAAGGGTTGGGGGGGAAGGGTAGGATGTCAGATTTGGTGCGGGCACCTAGTTTGCCTGCCCCCCCTCTCTTCGCCCACCCCCCGTCTCTTCCATGCTCCCTCCTTCCGCTCGCCCTCCTCGTCTACCGATTACTCCCGCTCATCGCTCCTCTTCCTGCATCCCCGCCCTCCTCCCCCCTTCTCCCCCTCTTGTGCACCTCACAATTTCCGTTCCCCCATTATCTGACACCCATGCGACCATTTTTCGGGTGGTAAGGAGGTGGAGTGGGTGGAAAACCCACTGACAACAGTTGCGATGATTATGATGGCGATGAGATGGCGCCATCGATGTCACGAATTTCACAATCGATCTCACAGTCGATCTCACTATCGCGTTCGATATCGATAGCACTATCGATCTCACTATCGATTCCAATATCGATATCTTAAGAGATCTGACTATCGATTTCACAAGATATCTCACGAGACACCATCAGGACACCACGATGGGGCACCACCAGCCAACAATATGTTGTGATCTATTTCGCGATCGATCTTGCAATCTCACGAGCGAGCTCACGACCAAGATCGATCACGCAATCGATATCACTACCGATCTCACTATCAATATCACAGTCGCGGGCCGAGAGAGTGCGGCACCTTGTCAGAATATGCTGCGCTGTGGTGACCTTCTGATCCAGCTGATATGGTTGATGATGTCATGTTGCATATGTTTCACATCAACATCGTAGTTGTTGCCCTCATCGTGGTAAAGAGACTCAAGCCGCCAGGAGCACACAGGATTAACGCCACCCCCCCCACTCCTTCTCCCTCTCACATTCCCGTTCCCTCGTCTCCCCCCTCCTAATCATCTCCCCGTATCTTTCTGTCCGCCATCTTCCATATACACGTATACTCCCCACCCCTCCCCGGCCGAGCTCGTGATGCTTAAGGTCCTGTTTCAAGACCCCACGGAAGACCCAGAAGCCCAAAGTCGCCCGCGAAGCGCGTAAACACAATGTGAGTCCGCCATCCCTTCGCATGGCCAACCTGCCAACGTCGAAAGCCAGGAAGGCTCCATAACAAATGATCATCCCAAACCCCGTTCCTTCCCCCTCGTTCCTCCTTTTTTTCGCGTTGCCCAGTCCTGCCCATCCCCCTCGACCTCACCTCGCACTCCATCCTCACCCCTCCTTTCACCCTTCCACCAAATCCACCCCTGTGTACTTGGCTGGAAGCGCCTTCTGACCAAAAAGTCGAGGCGGTTCCAGCATGGCGACTGGGAGACCAAAATGGCAGAACACATGTCGTGCCCTCTGCAGACGCGGGTAGGAGTGAGGGCCCCCCATTCCATATGCAGCATGCATTGCATGTCAATCACCGTCAAAAGTCCGCTGCACGCGTCCGAAGAATTTGTGTTCTACGCATCTCTGCGCAGCCCAGACAGACCTTCCTGCCCCCACTTTGGCAAGAATCGCAGTTATCTACAAGTCGCATGCACAGGGGCGTTCGCTCGACCTGGGAGCAGCCAGCACGGGTGCGGCCTGGAATGGATCCGCACGGGCGGGAACTCCGTCGATCCGACAACAACCTTAACTCTCGCCCCATCCCGCCCGATCGGCCCAGTCTTCTGAGCAGGCCGCACGGTGCCTCCATCCGTTCTCGCTGAAACTAGATCCTGAGACTTCGCTTAGGGTCCTAGGGAGAGGAGGAGGAGGAGGAGGAGGAGGACGAGGAGGAGGAGGAGGAGGAGGAGGAGGGGGAGGAGGAGGAGGGGGAGGAGGAGGAGGAGGAGGAGGAGGGGGAGGAGGAGGAGGAGGAGGAGGAGGAGGAGGAGGAGAGCGTGGGCGGCACCCGCAGCATGGTCCATCCGGAGCCGCGCCTAGCCATGACCAGGAAGATCCCCAGGAGGACGAGGAGGGACACGCAGACGCCGACATCGTGGAGGTCGCACCCCTGGCCGAACACAGAGTCGTTGGGAGGTCGGGCACCGGTCGAAACACCGAATCTTCCCCGGCCCGCAGCTGTTTTCGGCTGTCAGCCTCCCCCGCCCTGCCCCCCCCCCGCTGCAGCCAGCGCGCACCGCCCCCCGGCCCGTGGCGCCCAGCCGTCTTCGGCCAGCATGGCCGCCGTCGTCCCCGCCTCGCCCGCGGAGGGGGCCACCAAGAGGAGCGACGACGTCGCCGACTCGGCGGAGTTCGTGAAGCCGCCCCTGGCCCGCTGCTGCTGCCCGCCGCCTGCTCCTGCTGCTTGCCCGCAGACGCTCCTCGCTCGCACCTCCTCCTCCCCCTCCTCCTCCTCCTCGATCCTCCTCCTCCCCCTCCTCCCAGCTCCTGCCTGCCTCGCCCTGGGCCTCCCAGACGGGGTCGGAGGATCGCGCCGCATCGCCGATGCAGCTGCGATGCGGCTCGATGTGGAGCCCGATGTTCTCCACGCCTGCGGCGCCGATGCATCGCCGATGCACCGCCGATTCATCGGCGATGCGTTGGCGATGCGGCGCGATCCTCCGACCTCAGCTGCTCGGACCCGATTTGTCAGGCCTCTGCTTGTGCAACTCCCTGTCTCGAGGAGCGGCTCACGGCTAATGGGGAGAAGTTTCTTGCGTCTTCGGGGAAGGCTCAGAACATTTCTCGGAAGGCCGGGGGGACGCCCGAGTCTTCTTTGAGAAGGCCTGCCCCTTCTCACCTTCCCCCCCTCTGGGCCTGCCTCCGAGAGTAATAAGTAGGGAAATGCTGGGGGCACGAGAGCTGCTTGCCGAAGGACGAGCTGCCCACAAGCACGTCCTCGCGGAGGTCCTGGGTCGGCGCTTGCCCCCCTCCCCTCCGTGTGCGCCGCCCCCCCGGCGCCGCCCCCTCCTCCTCCTCCTCCTTCTCCTCCTCCTCCTCCTCCTCCTCCTCCTCCTCCTCCTCCTTCTCCTCCTCCTTCTCCTCCTCCTCCTCCTCCTCCTCCTCCTCCTCCTCGTCCTCCCCCTGGCGACGCCTCCGCGCCGCGACCCCCGCGCCCCGTGCGCCGGGGGCGAGGAGGGGCCCCCCTCGGCGGCCGCAGGGGAGCCCTGCCCCCCATGCCCCCCACGATTTCTCGGGGCTCCCACGAGGGCGCGGAGAGATCTTTGCGCGCGTCGCGGTCCTCGCCCTCCTTCTCCCTCTCCTCTCCTCCTCGTCCTCTCCTTTTCTCTTCGCGCGTCGCGGTCCTCGCCCCCTTCTCCCTCCTCCTCGTCCTCCTCGTCCTCTCCTTCTCTTTCTCTTTGGGGGGGGGGGCGGCTGCGAGAGCGCGGAGTTGTTCGCGCTCTCGCGCCTCCGCGGGGCGCGAAGCGCGAAGTTGGGAGCCCTAGATTTTCTCAGGGGGGGGGGGGGGGGCAGGGCAGGGCTCACCTGTGGCCACCGAGGGCCCAGCACCGATCCAGGGACCCCCTGCGCGGGCTGTCGAGAGTGTCTGTGCTCAGCGCCGTGTGCTGTGCTTCTGCTCTCTCGCGGCTGCTGCTCCTCCTCGTCCACCCTCCTCGTGCTCATCCTTCCGATCCTTCCCCCTTCTCCATCGCTCTTCCTCCGCCCTCGCCGCTTTTCGCCCGCTCCTCCCTCTCGCTCCTCCTGTGCGCTCCTCCTTCTCGCTCCCCTTGCTCGCTCCTCACGCCTCTGCACGCTCCTGCTCCTCCTCCTCTTCCTCCTCCTCCTCAGCATCCTGCTCAGCATCCTCCTCCATCCCCGACTTCCTGCGCAGCGAGCCGAGTTTCAATCGGTAGTGACTGATGAGAGCCGGGCGAGAGCAGAAGCTACATGTTCCGCTCATGCCGATGGAAGATCGGCATGGCGATTCCTGACTGTCTGAGTCCGAGCTGCTCCTCCCTCCTCTCCTCGACGCGGCTGGGGGAGGAGGAGGAGGAGGAGGAGGAGGAGGAGGAGGAGGAGGAATGGAAGACCCAGGGCGAGGCTTGATGTTGAGTGAAAGTGGATGGGAGACCCGGGTCGGCGGCGAGCAAGGGGGGGAAGCGAGAAGGAGAACGCCTTCTCGGATGGTTCGGAAGTCCCCCGGTCTTCTGAGAAGTTCTCGAAGTCTCCCCCGAAGACAATCACACATCTCTCAGAAGGCGCGAGGGCTTCTGAGAGGTCCCGCGGCTTTCTGAGATGGCCTTCTCTTTCTCATTCCCCCCCCCCCCGGGGTGCGCTGCCGAATGTGGCTTTTGGGTCATCACTCGGGCCTCCAGCGGCCGTTCGGAACGATCCGGGCCCCCCCGGAACGCCCGCGGCGAGGCGCAGCTGCTGGCAAACATCCCGAGGCTGGAAAACCGCCGAGCACCGACGAAAGCGTCCGAAAGCCTCGAACCTCGAGGTTCGACCCCGAAACTTCCCCCCTCGCTCGACGCCAACCAGGGCCCAGGACCCTGGGCGCCGCGAAACAGGATGCACGCCGTGGCAGGCTGTCCTCGCCGTGGGCGTCCAGGGTCGCGGTGTTCGGGCCACTGGGCCATCCTGAGAGCAGCCCGCGTCGAGGGACCTCCGGGGTAGAGCCTGAAGTCGGGCATGTCCCTCTACATAAGGAGTATTGAAACACAGTTTTACAAGATATTCTGGGGACGATGTTTTAAATCATTGTTGGTGCCTCCTTGACTATCTTATACTATTTGTACAACATCAGCCTGTATGAGGAAATGCCCGACCTATGTCGAGCCATCGGATGTGTCGAGATTTTTGGGGTCAGTTTTCAACGGGTCTTCGTTGTCTACAGCAACTTTTCTGTTGCAAGGTGTTGCGTGAGGCGTTCTCGGTTAGTGTAGCGAGAGTGGGTCTCGCCTTATGGTGACAGCCGCGATGCGTCCAGATCTGGTGGCCGCGCTTTGCTCACCTTCAAGATAGAATTACTGGCGGGACAGGGTGGATAGGAGGGAGGCCGCCATGCTGAACACGTTCGACTTCGAGTCGGTGGCGCGGGAGACCATGGAGCCCCAGGCGTGGGGCTACTACTCCAGCGGCGGAGACGACGAAATCACCCTGCGGGACAACCACATGGCATTCCAGCGCATCACCATGCGGCCGCGGATCCTGGTGAACGTGGCGGAGATCGACCTGAGAACCAGCTTCCTCGGCACCGACAGCTCCCTGCCGCTGTACTTCACCGCCACGGCCCTGGCCAAGCTCGCCCACCAGGACGGCGAGGTGGCCATCGTCAAGGCGGCGAAGAAGGCTGGCGTACCCTATATGCTGCCCACGTTAAGCAGCTACACGCTGGACGAGATGCTGGCTGCCCGTGCGCCCGACCAGGTCTGTTTTTCTCAGCTGTACGTCAACCCCGAGCGCTCACGGACGCAGGAGTACGTGGAGAAGCTCGAGGCGAATGGCGTCAGGGCCCTTTTCATCACCGTAGACGCCCCTCAACTCGGCCGCCGCGAGAAGGACATGCGCAACAAGTTCACGCAGCAGGGCTCTGACGTGCAAGGTGACGACGAGGACGAAGGGGAGGTGGACCGATCCCAGGGGGCAACTCGTGCCATCAGCTCCTACATCGATCCTGGCTTGAATTGGAAGGACATGCCTTGGTTCAGGAGCATTACCAAGATGCCGATCTTGTTGAAGGGTGTGCAGTGTGGAGAGGACGCGGTGATGGCTTTCGAGGCGGGCTTGCAAGGTGCCGTTCTCTCCAACCACGGCGGCCGGCAGTTGGACACGTGCCGATCAGGCATCGAAGTGCTCCCCGAGGTCATGGCGGCCCTGGACGAGGCTGGCTGCAAGCGGGAGGACTTCTCCATCTTCATCGACGGCGGTATCCGTCGCGGCGCGGACATCTTCAAGGCCGTGGCGCTCGGCGCCAAGGCGTGTGGCGTGGGGCGCCCGGTGTTGTATTCGCTGGCCTCGTACGGCGAGAAGGGCATCGTGCGCATGGTGCACATGTTGATGGACGAGCTCCAGATGGTGATGCGCCTGAGCGGCACTCCGAACGTGGCGAGCATCACCCCCGAGCACGTCATCACGAGGAACCTCGCAGACCACATCGTCCCCCTGCCGTCCGACAACCTGGTCCAGAACACCTACATGCCGCTCATGCCCGCCGCGCGACTCTGAGGCTAGGGGGGGGCAAACAGACAACTGCCGACATCGCTGCTCCACGGACCTCTCCCCGAGCGAGTTCTGACCAGGACCCTGGAGCGAACCCGGCCGTGGCGACGAGGGCCTTCCAGGAGGCCCAGCAGGGCGACAACGAGGAGCAGGGCATCGGCATCGCTGTGTGTGTGCGGGCCAGGAGAGAAGCAATCGGCACAACAATTGATAAAGTATTGCTTGTTTTGCACATGCTGGGACACATGGGACATGTAGGGGAACATGAATCTCCAGGACATATGAAACACAAGAAATCCTGGAATTCCTGCCTCCCACCCAGTCTCCCTCTTCCTCTTCTTGATACACTCAGACTCACTCATCATACTCACTCTCATCCCTCCTCTTCCTTACTCAGGCTCGCTCATCATACTCATATTCACTCACACTCAGACTCACTCACGCGAATACTCACTCTTACTCGTACTAATTCAGACTCACTTATGTTCGAATCCACTCAGGCTTACTCAGACTGACTCACACTCAGACTCACTCATACTCAGTCTCACTCATACTGAGACTCACTTGCTCCAGTACTCGCCGCGACATAGCAGACCTCCATCTCAGGCGGTTTGCCTGTGTAGGCTTCCTACATTGTTTGTTTTCGGAGCAGATGGTGAGGATGTTTCAGGCGAGGCGCTTGGCTCAGCACTCCCAAGGGGGAGCCGCCAGGGGATATATCACGGGCCCGTTCGTGCCCAGATTGTAGGGGGGATGTCTCTGGCGCTTTGCCTGTTTCTGCCACCAATGCTTTTCTGTTTTTAGCGGCCCACTGCTCACTGCGATATAGCAGGCAAGGCAGTTGTGCAGCCCAAGGGTGGGCGTCAGGGGGTATTTTACATGCCCGTTCGCGCTCAGATTGCGGGGATCTCAGGCTTTTTGGCTTGTTTCTGCCCCCAAGCGTTTGTCCTTTGGTGGTCCACTGCTCACTGCGATCTAGCAGGCGTGGCAATTGGGCACCCCAAGTGGGAGCCGCCAGAAGGCATCTCGCGTCCCGTTCGCGTCAGATTGTGGGGATGTCTCGGGTGGTTTGCTTGTGTCTGCCCCCCAGACTTCTTTCTTGTGGTGGTCCACTCACTGCTCACCGCGGTATAGCTGGCGTGGCACTTGGGCACCTCAAGGGGGAGCCGCCAGGTATGTTGCGGACCCTGTCGCGCCCAGATTGTGAGATGTCTCGCAGGCGTGGCATTTCGAGCAGCCAGGGGGTAGTTCACGGCCCTGCTCGCGCCCAGACTGTGGGGACGTCCCACGCGTCTTGCTCGTGTCTGCCCGCGAGGCGTTTCTCGATCGGTGGTCCACTGCCCACGCAGGCGTGGCATGTTGGCACCCCCAAGGGGGAGCCGCCAGGGGGCGTTGCACGGGCCCGTCCGCGGCCAGATTGTGGGAATGTTTTGGGCGGTTTGCTTGTTCCTGGCCCACTGCTCACCGCGACGTAGGAGGCGTTTTGCATGTGGGCTCCCCAAGGGGGGCCCGCCAGGGATGGGAGCACTCCAGGGTTTGTGCCCAGATAGTGAGGATGCCTCAGGTGGTTTGCACAGAGTCCCTGAGCGAGACGTGACAGGAGTTGAAGATGCACGTATGGGGACCTCCGCGTCGAGTAATCTACTTCTCCCTTGGCCCCTGGAGTGTGTGTGTGTGTGTGTGTATCTGTGTGTGTGTGTATCTGTGTGTCTGTGTGTCTGTGTGTCTGTGGGTTTTCGCCTCCTCCTCTGAGAGGCGCACTGCCCGCAGTCAGTCGCCCCGCGCTGCCCGCCCTGGTGGGGCGGCCCCCAGGGCTCGACTCCGCCCGCCCGGGAAGGCCCCCGGGCCCCGCGGCGCCTCAGGCAGGCGGGGCGACCGCCCCGCCTCGCCCGCACTCGCCGCCAGGGCGCAGCCATGTTTTCCTATCTCCAGAGAGGGCGGCGCAGCTTGGAGCCTGCGGCGAAATCCGAACCCTGCCTTCGCCCATCAACGATTCAGGCAACTCGATGGGCGGCGTGGGTAGGGCTCGGAATTCGCTGAACGCGTGGTGAAATCCGAGCCCTACCCCTGCCTCCCATGGATTCGGGGAACCGATGGTTGGTGGGGGCAGGGTTCGGGCGTCGCCACCTATCGGAGCAGGCTGGGGGTCTGAGGTGGCCCAGCTCCTCCTCCTCCTCCTCCTCCTCCTCCTCCTTCTCCTCCTCCTCCTCCTCCTCCTCCTCCTCCTCCTCCTCCTCCTCCTCCTCCTCCAGGGGAGCGAGGTCCGACGCTTGGGTGTTCGGGAAGGTCTTCTGCCTCTTGGCCAGTTTCGGGCCCCGGAACCGTCAAAAATGGAGCCGAGGCGAAACTTCACACAAGAAGGACCCCAGGTGGGCTCTGGGGCAGACTTTGAGCGAATCTGCCATCATCCCCTGCCCCGCTCCCCCCGTTGGCCCGTTTTCTCGGAGCCCAGCCAGCGCAGGCCCTTTGGCAGCTTCCAAGGGGGCGCGCCCTTTTCGTTTCTCCGCGGAGGGCGGCGCAGGCCGACGCCGAGTCCGCTCGGCCCGCGGCCGCTCGGCCGCGGGCCTCGTCGCGTGGCGTCGGCCTGCGCGGCCTGCAGCGAGCAGAGCACCCTCCGACGAGTCTTGCTTGTGCCTTCAGGGAGGGCGGCGTTGTAAATGAAGTCGCTGGCTTCCAGTGGTGGTTTTGATGCATCGCCGCCCTTCCCTAAGGCCCAGGATCAGTCCATTGGAGGGCGTCTGTGCATTATTTTTTGCGGCGGGAGGAGGTGCAGGAGGGTCGAGGATCGAAGGTTGGGCCCAGAGTCGCCAGAATGAGAGGGCGTGTGCCTTCATGGCCGTGAGCAGAAGGGCGTGTGCACTGGGAGGGCCCCAGCCAGGGTCGGTGCAGGGGCCCTACTCTGGCCGCTACTGTCACTCCTCCTCCTCCTCCTCCTCCTCCTCCTCCTCCTCCTCCTCGGCTATACGTAAGAATGACCTTTCGCCGGAGTGACCCTTTCGCCAGAGCAGGGGGCCCCCCGATGGCTGAATGCGGTGTGATAGTAGTGGCTTGTGCGCCTGGTGGTGTCCCAAAGGGCCCCCGCTTAGGCCGCGTACCACAGGTTACTCTTGGCTAGGGGGGTCACTCTTGCGTGCCACTGAATTATAGGCGACGCCCTCCTGGCTCTGGGTGGGCGACTCGAAGGGGGGGAAGGACGTGCATGGGGAGGATGGAAAGAGAGGCTGGGGCTGGCTCGTCGACTCTTTCTTGCCTTGGTCCGTTTCCCTACGGTTTTCTCCAGCCTGGGCGACCTCATCCCCACCAATTCTGGGTCGGTGCGGTTCCCCTGCCGTGGCCACTTCCAATTCTTGGCGCTTCTTTGTCAGGAACGCCGTCCGTGTAATCAAGAGCGCGAGAGACAGCCCCTAAAGAGCAGACAGCGCAGCCTGGAGCATCAACGACGTCAGGGATGACCGTACCCTCAGCCGCGCGGGCTGGTGACAAGGGCCGCCAGCGACCAGTGTGGGAAGACACCAAGGAAGGGGACGGCCGTGCCACCAAATCCCCAAAAGGCGACCCAGCGCGGGTACACATTTCCGAGGCGCCCTGGAAGGATGTAAGGGCCACACAGCCACCCCGAGGCAACCCAAGCGACCCCACGGGGGGCATCCCCATGTACATGTGCCCTGTTGCCGATGCGGACGTCACGAAGGATGAACCCGTGCAGGAGAAGATAATACGCCTGCAAAAGACGCTGGGAGGAGGGTTCAACGGAGTTTGGGCCGCATGGGTGAAGAAGGCTGCCATGAGACAAGGGACCAGCGGAAGCGCAAAACACGACCCTAAACGGAACACGGTCCAGTCGTGCAACGACTTAATCCAGGCGTGGGACAGCGCAGGGTACGACGCCTACAAGATGGACAGCGACCTAGGGCTCAGCGTCCAGTGGCCGTCGGTCAAGGACAAGGCAGAGCAGCAGCGGCGGCACCCGTGCATGACCGTTGGGCAGGTGCCATCGGCTCCGCCACCCCCACCCGCTGGCAGGAATGGCAGGAGTGGGACTCCTGGAACCACCAGAAAGCACCGTGGACAGAAACAGATTGGAAAGGGAATGGCAAACGCTACTCCCCCAGGGGAGACGATCGATACACAGACAAGCGTGCACGATGGTGGGACAGGGAGGACTAGTACGCCCAGGGGTAGCAGGCTCGGGCTGGCCTGACAGCGTGCCCACCGGCACTCCCGGCCCGTCGCCCGCGAACCCCCCCCCCTCGTCGCCCGCACCTCGCCCCGCTGGGGATGGTTTCGCCTCGCAGCGCCTGGCCTCGGCCAGAATACCCCGGGGCAGCTCCCGCTGAGGCGGGGGTCTCCCCACATCTCACCCCTGGCGCAGCATAGCTAGACAGCCCACGCTGGATAAGTGGACCTTGCCTAGACCTCTCACCCCCCCCCAGCAGATGGGGACCAGCTCGGCCCGCAGGCCTCGCCAGCCCCGGGACCGCCTGCTTTGCTGTCCCTCAGCGACAGCCACTCTTTCTCGGTGACAAGGGGACGGCCACATATGCACCCCCCCAGCGCACCTTCCTTTGCTGTCCACTTGACAACCGCCCGCTTTCGTAGCAGGGGCCAGTCGCCTGAAATAGTCGCCCCCCTGCACGCCGCTCAGCCGGTACCTTGGCAGCTTGCAGCTCCAGCTATGTTGCGTAAGGCTGCTGCGCATGTACCCCCCCATGTGGCGCGCCCGACGCTGGCGCACTCCAGCTCGGACTGTATCGGCGTGGTCCTGCCACCCCCCATCTTTCTAAGTGTCTTCTGCGGCGGTTAGCTGCACCCCCCCACATGTGTAGATGTTCTCGGCGTGCAGCTGCTATCAAGTTACCTGTATCTTGCGGCGGTTAGCTGCGCCCCCCTTCTCCACGGCAAGGTCACTCTGAGGGTTGCACCCTAACCAGACAACCAGGTAACAAGGGGCGCCTCGGTACGGCCGCAGGTTGCCCACGGTGTGGGACGGCGCCGAACGCGTGGCC